AGGTAGTAAGCCAAGTTAAGATATTTATTAATTAACTTCATAATAATAATATAATAGATATTAACGATGTTTGTTGAGATCCACTACCGTAGATCTCCGTAATTCTTTTTCGTTGATGTGAACCCCTGGGGGTCCTCATAAACCACGTTGGGAATTACTGATCTAGATATAGGTTCCCAAAGGTTTTTTTGTACAATATACCCCTTACGCTTTGTTCAAAATCCTTTGCAAAAGTTATTCGATAACTATAATTATTTCCTCTGATTGCCTGAAGGACGAAGAACAATGAAAATACTGTCAAAATAATGTTTTATTTGTTCTACTTTATTTTGCTTCTTTTTCAAAACTTTAAGCAAAGACTGCTATATATAAAAAATAATATTGATAATAAATTAGTACATACCTACACCAAGTGGCGTATCTACTAGGAATGCATAAATATCGGACTAATTAATTAAGAAAATGCTATTTTTGAAGATATTATTTTTAATATTTAATCATTCTAACTACCAAAATGCGTCATCGTGAATATTCGTTTTTTATTTTGGATATATCTTGATATAATTTCATTTGCAGATTAAATCAGTTTTACGTCCGTAGTCAAAAATGTAATTCAAATTACTTGCGTGCGAAGATGATATGATATCACACATTTAATTCTTGAACCAAAACGATAACACATAAAATATTATCTCTGAATAAGTGAAATTCGAAAACTGGATATAATGATACATCTACAAAGTCGTATTTAATGTTCTTTATCACACGTGGTGCTCTATATATAGAGTTATCAATAATCATACATTTATTTTTTAAAAACTGTTGATAAAGGATTATTTTTTCAAAATATATTTTATATTGTAATGTATGGGCTCGCCCGTAGGTAAGGGGTTAAGAGCGACGGGACCTGAATCAGAGGACCCGGGTTCGATACCCACTTCGAGCAGCCTGTTGTCAGGCAGCAGTGACAACGATTTTCACTTGGAAATATAGATAGTAACATGTTTTTAAGTGAAAATAGCCCTTGCCCGACATTGCTGCACCAATAAAAAGTCAGCCCTATTAGATTAATTCTAATAACAAAATCATCAAATATGGATGGATTAACCATTGGGTTACCATCTAAAAAAATACGAAGTCAGGAGAAGTTTCAGCCCAACAGCTCAACGTAAGGGTCTCATTGCTGTTATAAATATATAAAAAAAATATTGTAATGTAGTATAAGTGGTGCAAATAGGTCAGACAGTAGCATACCCGACTCACACGCCAGGGATACTCTGTTCGAGTCCTTGCACTGACACAAAATTGTCTTGATTTGTTGGATTAAAATTAAATAAAATTTGAATTGTTGATTTGAGATAGAACAGAATTACAAGTTAGATTAGAAAAACAAATATAAAGAAAATCGAAGGTTCGTCAAGGATAAATAAGTTTCATTATGAAAAAATAAAAATCGTTACCTAAGTTTGTACTTTGTAATGTGAATCACAATCTCGTAAAAAACTAAAGATGTTTTTATAATGAATGTAATTCAATGCTTTTTATTCCTTCAATAAACTTATATTCAAAGGTTAAACTGATTATATCATCCTTCATTAAAATTTACTTTATTTTTAGCAACAAAAAGTATTCTGTATTCCGATGCAGGTTTTCCAAATAATTCGAATATTAAAACATGTCATAAATAAAACGTGGGCGATCAGAAAAAGAATTCTTTTTCAGTTTTATTCGGTTTGCATATATCGTAGATATCCACAAAGTAACCGTAAAAAGAAAAAAGGTTTTTATCTATTTTAGAATCATACATATCCATACTTTATTAATATTATGAAAATCTGATCCTTACAAAAATAAACTGTATCCTATAAATTTTACGCATACAATATGGAATATTATAATGTTTCATCCTACATGTCACAAATAAAAGGGAAAAGGTTGGATATTTTGACAGTTTCATGACCGACCTTTGGGCTATTATCGTGGTTTTCATAGTCCCCGTAGGAGTATTAAACCCTTGAAAATATTTTGTATAGGTACCTTTTATCGGGGTAGGAACAAACTTTTGGAACAAGATCGTTTACTTCAATTATGTGCTAATTATTTGAGTTGTTGGTAATTAAAAAGAAGCATTATTATAAGATTAAATTTTAATAAATCAATACAAGTTCTATATTGCTATAAAGCGAACTTGAATCTCATCAAAAATAGTGTAAAGAAGGGGGCGCGTCCATTAATCACGTGATCGATTTTTTAATAATTTTTGGACACCCGCCCCCTTGGTGATACGTAGTGACATTAAAAATTACCCCCCTTTTCCCCACCAAACATCACGTGTATTTTTAATTATGAAAAAAAAAATTTTTTTAATGTTTGGATTTTTTTGTAAAAAAAATCAGGTAAAAAATCAATACACGTGATATCTTACTATACTCCTCCCTAATCCAGGTGATATTTTGTGATTTTTAGTCAAACTCCCCCTACCCCAAAAAAGCTCAGGTGAAAAAAATTGACGCCTCCTTAGTGAATTAAAAGTAAACAGAAAATATAGTATTATATATAAACACATATTTGTAAAAAAATTCTATTATCAATAACATTATCATTAATCATCGACCGAAAATTTGATTTACTAATTTGGTTTTCTCGACGTTTTACATTATTTTGAATCGTTTGACACTAAAATTAGACACGCAAAAACAAATGAGTATTTAATAGTTTAATAACTTATTATCAATTAATAACTTGAAGTAAGTAAATTGTAATACATAAGAGACACATCATATGCCCTTTTGATTTTGCCTTTGCTTGAATTTTGCAAATGCTTGCATGTCTATCTTGAAAATTGTATTTTAAAGACATTTGTGTATGAAAAATGTAAAATGACAAAAAATATTTTAATAAGAATCAAATCAATCTATATTTATTTGTAATTTATTTGTTTGCGCATTCATTATATTATTAATTACAAATAGTTCAGAGTTCCTAAACCGCTTATTCACTTCAGAAGAAAAATGTAGATTTCATAAATTTTCAGAGGATGTAAAATTCGTATTCCTTGTGAAATAATGAGAAAATATTTAGAATCTTGTATCAAAAATTTATATTTAGTAACTAAGTCAATATCCATGTCTCTATCGAAGTCTCAATTTCTACAAAACTACAAAAATATTCCTTGTAATCCCTCTTGCTTATATTCTGAAGAATTCAATTTAAAATTCTGCAATACTCGAGAAAGATATTGGCATTCAGAATCAGTTCCAAAGATATTCATAATAAAAAGATATGTTTTAGTTCCGTTTATGGACGGATTCTATTTATAAAATTTCCGATCGATAAACGATATATGATTTGAAATCAAGTAGATTTTAGATCTAATGTACAACGATGAGTTGGGATTTATAAAAAATTCTCAAATTTGTGTGTAATGGAAAATACTGATGTGATCTTGATAATTATCAAATCAGTTGTATATATGTATATTTATCAAAAATTGTATATTAATATGTGACTGAATTTTCATAAAGATCATTTCCAAAACCATACTTATTATATATAACCATAGTCATTTTGTGTGACATCACACTTTTGGTCACTGTATTTCAACAAAAAATTCAACACAATTTCGAATTTTATTTTTATTAGCCAGTAGTTAACCTTACTTATAAAATAAGTTAATTGTAATGAGTTAAAAAGATTCCTCAAAATAAAAAAATTTCAAAGAATATATTTCTTTTGCAGACTAGATAGAATTCATAGATCAATTGTACATAATTATGCATATTGCTGTAGCGGTTGAAGATCTGCATTGAATAAACATTTTTATAATATTTTTATAAATTTAATAGAATCTTAAATGATAATCTTCTAAATTTCGATGATCAATCAATCGAATATGAAGCGATTATTGGTAATTGCGTCATTGAGGCTGAGAGTCTATCAAATTTGCGTCATTTGATTGCTCGTTATAAGCTCTTCGCCAAATTTACTGCAGGTTAATTAAAATTTTTATTAGAGATTTATAATGAGATCCAAAGTATTTTTATATAATCAGATGGTAGATGGTTTATTGTATTTGTATATTAAACTCAGTGTTTGATTATGAAATACCTATCGAGCGATATTAATCCATTGCAATCAGGAATAATATTCAATTATTGTACTATATTCAAAATCATTTTAACTAATCCTCAAAAGTTTTTCACTATTATTTTTTTATTTTATTCTCTTTTAGATACTGTCATTATTTATCTATTATTTTTCAGCTTTGAGCTCTAAATTTTTTTTACCACGGATATCTAAAAACAAATTGCCGCCAGAAGAATCCCAAGACATCACTAATTTTGAATGCTGAAGATTATATTATCAAGCTTCTAACAATTTGTCACATTATTGTGACAACAAATGTTTTTCTTCCTGGTTATTGTCAATTGTATTACATAATTTTATTGTTACACTCAATGTCGTTTTAGCTTTGCATAATAATGTAATTAAATTAATTAAGATAGTTTGTTTGCAGTAATGAGTCTAATCTTGTATCCAAAATGTTTGATGATTTCTACGTGAAATATGAGATCATACTTTATTATATGGCATTAAAAGAGATTTTTATTTAAAAATATTGTTGTCTGATATTTATTTAAACTCATTTTAATTTACTTTAAATATGAATATATTGGTGTTCCAAATAACATTTCGTGCATTAGCAAAATTTCATTTAAGAAATTTTTAATATGATAAATATCAATATATTTTGATAAATAGCACTTGGAGTAATTTGATGTTGCAATAAACGAAAAAACAAAATTGTATTAAAAATTATATCAATTTCATTAATAAATAGTCAACAGCTAGACACTATTGAATTTAATTAAATTATATACAAAGTTTCATAATTTTCTATTAATTCACCTGATTTACCTGTTTATAGCTCATATTTTTATTTGTCTGTTTTCAATATTTTTTTATATTCTGTATTTTTATGAAATACTTATTCATTTCAGGTTGCGATTAAAATAATCGATAAATCTCAATTGGATGGCGGAAATTTGCAGAAAGTTTACCGGGAAGTTGAGATCATGAAGCAATTGGATCATCCGCATATCATCAAATTATATCAGGTATTTTAGATACAGATTAATTCAATTTTATATAGCAAATAGCATTGGAATGGAAATATGTGTATTTAACATTGCTATGAAGTCCTTCTGTGGAAATCTGAGATATATAAAATAAAGTTTTTTTTAACTGATGACGTATTTTCAAGATTTTGTTCATCAATTTTAAACAGTTATAAATAAAAATGAAAATTCGGGATCAAATTAATTGTATATGCTATTATTTTTTTCAAATTCAAATTTTCTACTTACAACCCGTTATACATTGAATTATTACTTATCGTTTATCTTTATGTTTTTATTTTTGAATTTATAGAAGTAACTAAATTCTGAGTTTTAAATTTGTGAAGAATGCCACAACAATACTATTTGATCAGTTTTTTTTTAATATAAGTTTTAGTTTGAGTTTAAAGCGCTCTATTATTATAATCAATCTGATATTAATAATTATAGAGCAGCCTAGTGTATGAAAGTTATTTATGTATGCTAATATAATCGGATATATTCCATATTAGAATTTATTCAAATAAATAAATGAGTCAATAACAAATGTGATAGATGTAAGTTGTCTAGACTAGTTTTATCTATTTGGCATCGGACCAGGGTTTAGAGGTATTATGGAATTATTAAAGTCAAACACTTAACTTCACAATGATTAAAGTACGAGAAAAGAAAATTGTAAAAATAGTAAAAATTAATAAAAATATTCTTTGCGTCATCAGTCTACTTCATACCAAGATAAAAACACAAAAAGATGAAATATTTTATATATGTGCTTTTATTTAGGAATGAATAAAAATTCATAACTCAAAATAAAATTTATGAAATTAAGAAAATAACAATAAAATTATGATGCCACTTCCATAATTTCTAATACAATCCATCCATTCATAACTATTTATAATTGAAAAATTAATCAATAAATTATTCTGGTTTAAAAAAATACCAATATCAAACGATATTTTTTCATGATGTCCGATAGAAGTTAGAAACGTATAAAAAAATCCACTTAATAAAAATAATTATTCACAGGTAAACCCTGTAATATTTTTCTTTGTAATGTATGACATATGACATTAATCAATCGGGGGAGTCCGCGATTGTCGTCAGCAATGTTCGCTCAGACATGTGACGTCACATACCCTTCTAAGTTTGAGCACTATATACAATGGAAATCATATGAGGCTAGCAGTCTATGTAGTGCAACGCCTATGATTTTTGCTCTAAAATTTGGTTTTACATAACCCTTGCAAATTGTATATTAGTAGAATATAACATTTTGGGTTTGCATCGTAAAAGAACAGGTAATTCGCCGTGTTTTTCTGTTGAAAACAAATCGCCTGATTTGAAATTCTATGAGAAGCTCTGATAGATGCGTTCCAGAAAAAAAGATGGAAATTCCTACAGTTTTTATCTTAAGTATTCCAAGTATGAAAAAAGTGTTTGTATAATTATATAAAATTAACTTGTAAAATAAAGTAACGAATTGTTATTTTAATTTTAACCATGTCACGAATATTTGTGAAAAATATAGGATAACTAATTAACTCTTCATAAATGTTAAGGTTAGCTGTTTTGCAAATGCATACATTATATCGTTTTTAAATAATATTTTTCTCAAAAATGCATAAGAATAGGTAGCGATATATATATATATATATATATATACTAGCAAACCCGACGAACTCCGTTTCGCCACCAGATGGTTTCGTGAGAAAGATGAAGAAATTTTTTGTTTGATTTATATTTGAAAAGGAAAAAATTTGATTATATTATACAACAGTAATGAATTTATTACAATTACAAAAATGAAGTGTTTTTTAGTTGAACTTCTCTAAGTAAAAGAAATTGAATCCGCAAATTATCCGTTTCATTAAAGTGCTCTTTGGTAAACTACATTTTTTGTTTTTTGGTCTGACGTTAACACAAACAAAGCGGATGGTCTTACAACTCGTGAAAAGGCAACGTATAACTGCCCATGTAAAAACAATGATTTTTTAAATAATATATTTGAAATTTATCCCGCAAGCACTAAGCGATTGGCCTTGCGACTTGTTATTGCGAACTGGAAATTGCAATCGTTTGAAGTCAAACGGAAGACCAGTCAGAATTATTGGTATGTCACCAAATTGCCAGCAATTTTTTATTAAATGGTGAAATTCAGGGCGTGTACATCATTATTCTTTGCGGCAAGAATTGCTCGTTGACTTAACCAAGCATAATTCTGATAATTCTCACTAATGTTATTACTCGAATTTTTGATCACGGTTTGAAAAAAACAAGTGCATGTCAGATTGAATTTTACGGTTTATTAAAATTGCATGAAAAGCTTACAAAAGTGTACAGATAATTAAATAATTGCTTACAAAAAACCATACATAATCGAGACTCTAATGTGCGTTTGTGGAATCAAAAAAATGTCTTACATTTTAATCAAGATATAGAAGCGAATATGGAATCGGACAGTAAACCATCAGAAATCCCAAAACTACGAAAGACCGTTATTGGATCCAGCAAATACAGCAAGATACCCCGCGAAGAAGGTCGGACCAATATGTTTACATCGGAAAAGGTCTCGCTGCGTTCAACTTCATCAGTTTCTGACTCAAGACAGGAAGTAATATCATCTAGTAATAGTGCATCTACAAGCCTCACTCAACCACATTCTGATGTCAAGAAACCTCCTAATTCATGGCAAGTAGTCAATTTCAAAAAAAGAAAAACTTCATTTGAACCATTAGGAATAGATGTCAAAATTCAAAACCGATTTTCGGCCCTTTCAACAATAGAAACAGCTAATGATGACAACTCAGTTAAACCGGCTCCAGTCAGTAAGCCCCCTCCAATATTTATTTATGGAGTTGACGATATTAATGATATGTCTAATCAATTAAATGAAATAATTCCGCACGATCAATATTTCCTGAGAAGTTTAGCTAACAATACATTTAAAATTCTATGTAATTCTGTCGACCATTTTCGAACTTTATCCAGACATCTAAAAGAAACTAATGCCGTATATCATACATATCAATTAAAAGAAGAGAAGGCTTATAGGGTTGTTCTTAGAAATGTACACTTTTCAACAAGCACAGATGCAATTAAATTAGAACTATTAAAACAGGGTCATGTCGTACGTAATATCCTAAATATTAGACATAGAATAACAAAAGAACCTCTTAATATGTTTTTTGTTGATCTGGAACCAAATAGAAATAACAAAAATATTTATAACATTTATAAATTATTCAACTGCATAATACGCGTCGAACCACCGAGAAAGTCCAACAACATTATACAATGCACTCGCTGTCAACTCTTTAATCACACCAAAAAATACTGCAATAGACCATTTGCTTGCCTAAAATGCGGTGACAATCATAATACTATAGCTTGTACCAAAGATCCGAATGCTCCGGCATGTTGTTATTTTTGCGACGGTGCTCATCCAGCTAATTATCGCGGTTGCTCATACTTCCAAAAAATTAAAGAACAAAGAAACAAAACCCCAGTAAATCAATCAGTCATAAATCCAAATCCAAATAACCAAAATTTTAAAAATTCTAATAATTCTAATTCTAATAATAAAATAAATAACATTTCTCCGGCCTTAAATCCAACAATTCAAAATTCATCCTATGCAGACATTGCAAAAAACATTTACTCTGCTTCTAATCATTCACCTTCAAATCCTGATTCTGATTCTCTAGCAACACTTATTTTAGAATTTAAAAATATCTTCAATCAGCTTTTGCAACAGAACACCATAATAATAAATATGTTATCCACGTTAGTCAACAACAAAAGCAATGGCAAAAATAATTAAAATTGCTGAATGGAATGCCAACGGTTTAATACCTCACAAAAATGAAGTAGAATGTTTTTTAAAGTTAAACTTAATAGATATCTTATTAATCTCAGAAACTCACTTCACTGAAAAAAATTACTTCAAAATTTATAACTACACTACTTATAATTCAAATCACCCAAGTGGCAGGGCTCGCGGCGGTTCGGCTATATTAATCAAAAATAATATAAAGCATTTTGTTCTACCAAATATTTCTGATGATTTTCTACAAGCAACTCAAATTTCTGTTGAAACAAATTTATATAATTTTTGTGTTTCTGCTGTTTATTGTCCACCAAGATTCAAAATTTCTTGTGCTCAGTTTTCTTCATTTTTCTCTCAATTAGGTAATAAATTTATCATTGGTGGTGACTTTAATTGTAAACATATTGCCTGGGGTTCTAGACTGACTACAGCCAAAGGAAAGATTCTTCATGCAGCCATAGGGCAAAATAACCTCTCCTTTATTTCAACTTGCAGTCCAACTTATTGGCCTTCTGACCCTACTAAAGTTCCAGACCTTTTAGATTTTTTTATTGTGAAAGGTATTGATCTTTCAAATCTCAATATTGAATCTAGTTACGATCTCTCTTCAGATCATTCTCCAATACTTGTGACGTTTAGCACATTTCCTGCTCCAGTTATCAACAATCATATTCTACACAACAATCTTTCTAACTGGATTCAATTCAAATCCATACTTGATTCAAAATTATTTCCAAAATCTAGGCCTACAAGCGTTATTGATATAGAAAATAATATAGATTATTTTTCTGAGATTGTACGTGAGACAACCAAGCAGATCACCCCGAACATTAATCCAAGAAATGATAATCTAATAATTCCGCAAGAAATTAAGAAGCTAATTGCACAGAAACGAAGAGCAAGACGAACCTGGCAACATTCTCATCTACCAACGGATAAGACATCGCTTAATCATCTCAATAACACGCTGAGGAAAAAAATGAAAGAATGGAAGAATTGTACATTCAGGTCGTATATATTGCAGTTAAATAGGTACGATAATTCCATATGGAAACCAATCAGAAACAAAAGAAAACCCCTACAACAAAACCCTCCTCTGAAAATAACCAACCAAAACGGATTCATTTGGGCAAAAAGCAACGAAGAAAAAGCGGAGGCATTTGCTGATCAT